AAGAAACATCTTAGGCTACGTCCACCTTTTTCTCCTAATCAAACTTCACATTTGGGTTAACAGTTATGGGCTTTGGGTTGATTGTCAACTCGCTCTCCGGTGACTTTCCCTGCTTCCCATTAGGTCTTCATTGGCCTTCCCTTATAATCTTCTCTAGGAGACCAAATAAAGCAGGCATAACCTTTAGAGTGTCCACAAATACTTTGTTCTCTGCCCTCTAGGAGTCCACTTGCGCTATGGAGGCGTGAACAAATAGATCGAAATCATTCATCCGTTGATGACAAATTGAAACCCAATCCGATACTCTTTCTTCCAAACGTTCGAACCAACGGTTCAATTCACGGCAAGACCCACAAGGTTCTTCAGAGGTGTGGTCTTGATGATGTTCCATGGAAGGACAGACTAGGTTGAGGAGGTACCCTAGTGTTGAGTGTGAAGACTTGCTCTACTCGAGTAGGATCTTTATCGCCCTCTTCCAAAAGTTCCTTATGCTCTCTACTCATTTCGTTGATTTGACTCTGAATAGCCATTTCTCTAGCTAGAGTAGCTTCCTCCTTTTCTATTTGATCGCATAGTTCTTCATATGCTCAAGGTCATTATATCTTAATCCAATTGCTCCCTGCGATGATCACCTTGTAATTCTCTAGGAGTCCATTGAATAAGCTCTCGTTCAATAGGTCTTCTGAATATCCATGATTCGGATTCCGTCGTGTCAGAACACCAAAATGCTCGCAGGCTTGTTGAAAATTCTCTTGGACCCCTTGTTGGAAGGTGACAATATCTTTCTTCTACATCACAGCTAATGTACCAACAAGATACCGATACACAAAAGTCTCCATGACTTCACCCCATGGCGAGGTAGTAGCTCGGAATTCCTAATACCAGATGGCAGGCTCCCCTCGCAGAGTGTAAGTGAAGAAAATACCATTAATATGATCTTGAGTGAATCCTGGTATTCTCACAGCTTTGGCGGCCTTTAGAAAGTAAGACATATGATCGAGAGCAGTGCGGTAGCAAAGGGCTAACTAGGTGGGTTCCGGGACCCACCTTGGCTCAGGAGAAAATATATACATATAATTACAATAGTTAAGTGTCAGTGATGTTTTTTAATTTATACCTAAACATCATTTATATTTTTACCACCAAACAAAAATTAAACAATAAATTATTTATCATTATTATATATAATATATTCTAATTTCTAAATAATATTAGAACAAAATATAACTTCATTCTTCAGCTCTCAAATTCTTAATTTAATCGTCATCTATCACCAAACCTTCTCTTATTGAAACTCGCTAGCTTCTTTTTCGCATAATAAGGAAATTTTTAAAATAATATTGAGGTTTTGATCCTCCACTAGATTATTGTATCAATATCTGTGTGATAAGAAATTAGATATTACAAGATTTCTTAGTGTTTTAGAATTATAGTCATTGAAACAAGTAATTTAGCGTGCTCCTCGGGCTCTACTACAAGTATTGAAATGACATTTGCAATGAGAACACATTGTGAACAAATGGAATGATTTAAATTTTCTTATGGTATTAAAAAATTTCTGACCCACCTTACATAAAATCCTAGCTATGCTAGTGATCTAGATCACTCTCGTCATTCCCTCCTTGAAATAGAGGTTGATGGCGAAGCGTAGCGATGGTCTCTCCAACTCAGTTCGGTCTATGAGGAAAAGTCTATTCAGTCGTAAAACTCTACAACCCGTGACGCACAAAGTTGGATAACAAAACACAAAACGATAAAAACTACGGAAATAACACAAACACAAACAAAACAAAGAAAATAAAGGCTAAACTAACAACTCGATGGTTTTCTACTAGTTACCAAGGTTCCCCGACAACGACGCCAAAAAGCTTGATAGATTTAATCTGTGCAAGTCATTGTCAAGAGTTAGCACGCTTCAATAACTACCCCATCCTAGACCAAGTTTAACCTAGAGTGGCGTTGTCATATAGTGGTAATCAAGGTCGTATTTACTCGGGTCTCGGTACCCTAGCCTACTTCCGACATTGTTGTTATCTAGCCAATTGGTTTAAGGGTTTATGGTGGAGGATTTAAGCGAACTAACTAGTAGGGAGATCAAATAAGGATAAAAGCAGGTACTTCGGGGAACTATCCCTCACCCTAGGCTAGGTATACATGCAATGTCTAGATAAATAGGGTTTGTCGAATGTGGTGAGTGAGCTATTTCCCGTGGGTTTTCGTGGTTATCCACATGCCTCCGAGTATGCCTCCCATAAACCTATGTCAGTCACCTCGATCTAGGCTATCGTATCTGTGGCATTAAGACCATAACTCATTATAATGGGTAATACCCACTATCCATACTGAGGTTTTATCATGGGTTCTATTTATGAAGGCATTCCTATGGCAGGGGTACGATCGCCTCATCCACCATAGTCCATTGGATCCTATTCATACATCTAACCTCAATTTGCTTGATGGCATATACCCGTCTAACCTAAACTCCATACCCTGTGTAGAAGCTCAAGTAGGATAGTAGAGAGAAGATTAGGGAGACTTACCCAAACACAATCAAAACTAGAGAAATAATGAAATCAACTAGATAGACACATTCATTCTTTAAAACCCTAAATCAACGAGCTCGACATCTTCGAGCCTTTCAGGATTTTTTCTTGCTCTTGTCTAATACCAAGATCCTTTATGCGGGACACTATGAGTGTTGTCGACCAGATCGTAGAGGTAGAAACATGTCCGAACTAAAGGCGCTCAACACATAGCCTAATCATAGCCGCCAAAACCCACAACTTTTCTGCCTGAAGGGAAACTATGGAGCTCGACTTGGGCACTAAACACCCAATCCATGACCATCAAAGCCCACCAAGGGGAAGACAGCAAGAAAGAACCGCCGAGCCACAAGATGCATAAGAGGATTGGCCGGTGGCCGACTAAAGAGATGGCAACCATGACGCCTGGAAACCAGTACGATGAAGTGACTCCTACATTGAAGACAGAGCCTCCTCGGACAGAGAGAATTTCAAAATACGCATGACTAAGCATTCAATGCTGCCAAAGGTGGTCCTATGGCGGACAAGACAAATGGAGGCCGCCTGACAACACAATTAATGCTGAGAGCCCCAGAACCATGAGTATAAATACCCATTGACTGCATTTATGGTAGGCCAACTACTCCGATAGAAAGAAAACCTATTTCATTAAATCACTCACTAATTTGAGCTTTGGAGAGTGTCTCATACACATGCTTGTGGACCTTTTATGTAGGATCAATTTAGATGCCCCTTGAAGAACGATCACCGGACCACACATCATCCCCTTTTCAGCTATCTGGCGGTGACCTCACACAAGACACCCCGATACCTCCAGGGCTCAAACACTAATGATTGATGAATTTAGCATAAACTAGATTGCAATATGGCCTAGATATGGTTATTTAGCACACAGATTCCTCGAGGATAGTGGTTAGATAACACCATTTTTTTGTGTTATTAATATGTCGAGAGAGTGTGATCAAAGCATGCTTTACCATGTTTTAGGTTCACGCATGTGGTGATGGCTATGTGATTAGGGATGGAAATGGAGGTTTTGCAACCCATAGCCACTCCATACACATGCGAGTGGAGGTTTTGCAACCCAATCCCTATACCCATAGTTTTTGGGTAGCCATGACTAATATACGCCCATTATATTCAATGTTATTACCTAAAATTCAACAGGTAGATCTTCAATTATAGCACTAAATGAACCTAATAAACCATGAAATCAACAAAGACAACCATTTTCAATATAAAAGCATCCAAATCTAGAGTATCCATTGATTCATAATACAAAGTACAATAATATGCAAATCATTAATCTCTCACTCCTACACATCTATAGAACAATAAAAAACTAGCATAATCTTGCTAACAAAGGAAAAAGAAAGGAAAGAGTGATGAGAGAATTGAGGGGAAAAAATTAGTGTTTGGTTTGGGTGTCCTCTGAATTACATTCAACTCTTTGTTTCTTTCTTGAATAACCCTCCCGTCATTTCCAATATGTATTTCTATATTCTTCAATTTAACCAATTTGAACAAGAAACATACAAGAGTAGGGGTGGCATTCAGTCGATTCGGTTGAACCTGAACCATACTCGAACATACTCGAATCGCACAAGGCACATTCTTGCTTTCGATTTCGAGTTGTAATGAGGTTTTGTTCACTCCTTCCAAAACTGAAAAACTCTCGATTCGAAACGATTTTCCCGAACATACTCGTTTTGTTCAGGCTAGTGGGCTTGTGCATTAGGCCAGCAAACTGGTGGGTTCGACGGCACGCTTACCGACAATGGCAGGTATAGGGAGGAGACGCCGACGGGAAATAGAGGGAGGAGACATGATAACACCATATTTGGTCATGTTTTTCCCGTCATTTCTTGATCGTTTGAGTACGCTTTCTCGCTCTCGTGGCCTATTTTATGCTAGGTTGTGTTGGTTATTGATGTTTCAGGTCCTAGTACGTGAATGAGTGTAAATGAGCGAGTTTTGGGACGTTTTGGAGCGATCGAGCAAAGAGCAGGGAAAAGTTACGGCCAGACCTTGAAAAAAACTTGTTCGACACTCGGCTCGCGAGCTGACTCGTTAATAAATGAGTCAAGTTTGAGCTAGATCATGCTAAGCTTCATTAGCTCGTGAGCTAGCTTGACTCAGTGGCTTGTCAAGCTAAACTCATGAGCTGGCTTGTTTAGAGCTTGTGGAAGGATTAATTACTCTTCTGAACATGAACATTATCCTATTAATAAGGATTTGTATAGAAGTTAGTTGTTATTTTTAGTTTCTAGTGTTTTTTATTATTTCTTATGTATACACATTTTTCAGCAATAATGATTTCAAATCAAGCTCATATTGAGTCTAGTTTGTACTGAGATTTACAAGCTGTGTTAATGAGTATTTATCGAGCACTACCAAGTCGAGTTGAATTATTTTTAATCGAACCGAGCTCGAGCTCGAGCTAAATTATCAAAATTAGAGTTCGAACCAAACTTGAGCTTTAAAATTTATAAATAAGCCGAGCTCGAGATAAGCAAAAACTCGATTCCGTTCGGTTCGGCTCGTTTGGAGCCCTATGTCCCTACAATAAAAACTAGTAAAAACTAGAAAAGGGTGAAATTGGAAAGCAGATTCAGATCGCTAAAATCGCAGTTTGGTCTCTCGCTTTCACTCTCACATACAGTCTTCGCTTTCGTCTCTGGCTGGATACTCTCGATCTGCTGACTCGCTTTCTCGGAAAGCTGCTTTCACTTGGTCCGCTAAAGTTGCCACTCAGTTCTGTTTCCCTTTCCATCTATAGCATCGCCTCCAGTCTTCTTGCCTGAATCTTACTTTACTCGTTCATGTCAGGTGAGCTTTGGAGAAGCTCTTCTCTTATGCGTTTCTTTGATGCCATTGCGTGCAAGGCTTCTACTTTCAGTAGCTTTGAAGTGAAAACATTATTCTAATTGCGTTGCTTTTGGCTATGCACTGTGACATTTTCTGCTTCTACTATTTTTCCATTTTTCTTCATTTCCTCTCCTTAGGTGATTTTTTGGGTGGATAGCGAACCCTTAGCTTGCAGTCTTCCTTGTTCTGAAGTGGACGGACCAAGGATTTTGTCAATTTGTTAGTTTTCTGGACGTCAATCGATTAGCTCGATCGTGCTTGTTAAAAATTTAGGACCCTTAATCTTGTATTTTTCCAAATACATTGTTATGGCTTCTGGTTCTAACCTGTTATACCAAAGCTTGCATCTTTGATGACCAATGGCGAGTTGGTTTTTCATAGTTGGGATGTATAATCTATAGAGGGACTCTTAGAGGTAGCCCAATGGCATTCTAATTAGCTTTTCATTGTTCTGATTACAATTAAACTGTTGATTTGACCACAATCCTTACTCACACGTAGTTGAGAACGAACAAGAGCTTGGCCTAGCGGTACCACTAGCATAGAACCAGGTTCAAATCCCTTAAGTAGTACCTTGATAGTATAAAATGAAACCTAAATCACCCTTATAAAAAAAAAAGTAGTTGAGAACCTTGTTCAAACTTGTAGCTTTTTCTAGATACCTTATACTTTTTGGGTTTTGGACATGCCTTTTTTCATGTTGTATTGTATGGATCCCAAATAGTGTTGAAATCCTTAATCATTTCATCTCATTAATTATGTTTTGCCTCTTGGATTAATTTATATAGAGATTGATAATTTTTCATGTTTTTTTCAGAAATGGGAAGTAGATGACTCTTCTACAGGGATGCAGGATTTGATATGTAGGAATTTATACTAGGAAATTAGTTGGGAATTGTTTTTGGAGCACTATGGGCGGCATTTGCTGTAAACCCTCTTCTATAGTGGATAACAAAGAAAGACTCTCAAGTAAAGAATCATCTGATTTGAGGGTATCAAGGGTCACATCTTCAAGGCGGGAAGATGAGTATAGGCCTAAAGATAGGTACAACAGCAATGACGGGAGGACAATGTTAATTGATAAGCAAACCGATGGGTCAAATAGATTGCAGGTCAGTGAGAGTGTTGATAAAAAGAGGGAGAGGATGGAATATGCTGTTGTGCAATATCCAAGGATTGGTAGCATACCAAAAGCGATTGAAGGAGAGCAGGTTGCTGCTGGGTGGCCTTCCTGGTTAGCTGCAGTATCTGGGGAAGCAATAAAGGGGTGGCTTCCTAGACGGGCTGATTCTTTCGAGAAGCTGGATAAGGTACACGATTTTCTTAAACTTCATATTGTTTCATCTAAATCTTTCTGATTACTTATTTGATTAGTATATTTTCTCCATTTCAAATGTACTGCTCTTTTTATCAGGAACAGTAACTCCTGACTAGTTTGGAGCTAATAATAGTTGTGCTTTCTCATGCAGATTGGACAAGGAACCTATAGCAATGTTTACAGGGCGCGTGACCTTGATCAGAAAAAGATTGTTGCTTTAAAGAAAGTGAGGTTTGATAATCTTGAACCGGATAGTGTTCGCTTTATGGCAAGGGAGATCCACATTTTGCGTAGGCTTGACCATCCTAATGTTATAAAGCTAGAAGGCTTAGTTACATCAAGGATGTCTTGCAGCTTGTATCTTGTCTTTGAATACATGGAGCATGACTTGGCTGGTCTAGCCTCACATCCCGGTCTTAAGTTTACTGAAGCACAGGTAATTGTTAGAGTTTCAGCATTTTAATATCTTCACAGGAATCTGGTTTGGTATAATGATAATTCAAATGTGATGTTCTTGTAGTCTGCCAACATCATTCATTGTAAAGTACATATTTATGTATGCATTTATCTTATTCTTGTTTGTTGCAGATATCTGTTTCTCATCAAAGTCCTGTAATCTTGGCAGGTGAAATGTTACATGCAACAACTCCTACGAGGGCTTGATCACTGTCACAGTCATGGTGTCTTACACCGAGATATAAAAGGTTCCAATCTATTAATTGACAATAATGGTATCCTGAAAATCGCCGACTTTGGTCTAGCAAGCATTTACGATCCCAGTCATATTCAGCCGTTGACAAGCCGAGTTGTGACCCTTTGGTATCGTCCGCCGGAGCTTCTACTTGGAGCGACATACTACGGAACTGCTGTGGACTTATGGAGTACTGGTTGCATACTTGCTGAATTATATGCTGGCAAGCCTATTATGCCTGGTAGAACCGAGGTATTTGTCCCTTTGGGTTTGGATGGTTGAATTTATCTTTTGTTCACTGATATCTGCTGCTTATCTATTGCCTATATCGTTTCTACAGTTTTCTGTTCACAAACTTCTGAAACCAGTGCTATTCAAAATGCATTCTGAAACTTAATTCATCCTGGAATTTCCATTTCAAGAGATTGATGTCAGTTATGTATGACTCGGCCCACATCAACCTTATGTGCATGTGTGAAAGTAGCATAAGAAACTTGAGGGTTGAACTACCATGCTTAACGAGGACTTGTATCAGGATATGATATTCTGTATATCAAGCTCTAGTATGTCACTTACATTTGGCTGACTGCCTCTCTTTGTCTAGTTAGTTTGAGGCTTAACCATAGGTGTGGCTCTCTTGTTTTACAACTGTCTGATTTGAGGTTTAGTTGAATCACCATTATGTGCTGCTTCTCTCCCTAATGATCTCTCTCTTTTCTCAACTTCTGAAATCCTTGAATTGGTTACTCTCGTGGCTTTACTCTGTATTATGACTTACCTGGGTTTGTATGGGTCGTAAAGGGATGTAAAAGAGGATAGGAGCGCAACAGATGGACCTGATATAGCCTTCTAGCCTCTCATGGTGTATTTGAGGACTGAATAGATGTGACCTCGGTGAAACTGAGAAAGGCTGCTGGTCCATTTTCTGTTGTGTATTAGGCAGTAGAGTACCTTCTCACAGCTTACTGAGATATACTAGCTTCTTCTGAGTGTTTTTAAATATACTGAATTTAGGCCTGCCTTCCGTATTGATGGCATATATCCTTCAGTTAGGATATTATTTCATTATTATGTTTTCTGACTGCTTTGTTATTCTACTGACAATAGTTCAGCAAGAATAAGGCCAGATGAATAATTTACATGGTTTTGTCTTTGAAGGTGGAGCAGCTGCATAAAATTTTCAAACTTTGTGGTTCTCCTTCTGAGGATTACTGGAAAAAGTCAAAGCTGCCTCATGCTACTATATTTAAGCCTCAGCAACCTTATAGACGTTGTGTAGCTGATACATTTAAGGAGTTCCCTGCGCCCGCTTTAGCACTCATGGAGACCTTGCTTTCCATTGATCCTGCGGATCGAGGAACTGCAGCTTTTGCTTTGAGGAGTGAGGTATGAAGCTCTAGTTGTTGTTCAACGTGCCACCTTAAATTTGTTATCTTCTCAGGAGACACATGCTAGTACTTGCTAAAAATGTTTCAGTAGCAGTTATACGGTTTGTGTGCGACTAGAATTCTTATAACCCGTGTGTTGTTTCTCGCCCTCAATCGTGGCACTGTTAGGAAGTAAAAATAACAGTTTTATAGCACTTCTGTACTTATATTCAAATGATACATAACATACCTGACCCTTTACAACAAGCAAAATATGTCATAATTTCCTAGAATCAGAAGCTTATAGAAAGTGGTGAATCGAAATTTGTCCAAAATTAGCTAAAAAACTTGAATCTTGTTGAAGATGAGAAGAATGATTATTTAGAATGTGGTGAATGATGAGTCACGACTCACGACTCACAGCTTGTTGCTGCCGGGAGCTCGCAGTCAGCGATGACAAAGAGAAACTGGGTAGAGGGTCAGGGCAAATGGAATGGAGCAATGAGGAGAAGGTTCTGGGCTTGTGGCTATCGTAGTCAGTGATGGTGAAGGGCAGCAAGGCAAAGAGACGATTGAACCGATGGAGCGACGAGGAGGTTCTTGGCTTATCACTATTAGGCGCTGGCAGTCTGCAGCGACTTAGAGCAGCAGGGTAGGGGGTTGCTCGAATGGAATGAGTGACAATGAGAAGCAGCTTTCTGACCTAGAGTAGCGAGGACCAAATGTTGCATTGAGGGTAGTTTGAGATAGTGTTGTTTTGGTGAAGTCAGTTACCTTTTTTCTTCTATCGGTCCACTAGATATGCATAAGCACGCCTCCAATTGCCTAATTGGGTCTGACATTGGTTAACCACGACTAGGTGCCGCCTAGCTCCGCCTTGGTGTTAAGAATGTCTAATTTGCTGCTTAAGGCCTATGAGAGGCATTTTGTCATTGCCTAGCTCCTAGGTGCGTATCGGCAATTGGAATTCCGCCTTCTTGAACCATGATTTGACATATCATAAATATTGGTTGTGTAATTATCTGTCACCATTGTCTATTGTTCCACATCTACTAGTGTTCTGGGTTATGCATTTTTTCTTTCAATTTGTTGGTGATGTTTTGGTTGTCTGCTCAATGTGTTGCAGTTCTTTACGACAAAGCCACTTCCTTGTGATCCTTCAAGCTTGCCAAAATATCCCCCGAGCAAGGAGTTTGATGCAAAAATGCGAGACGAAGAAGCTAGAAGGTTAGGATTATCAAATCTAAACACACAAGTTTGCAGGTTTTAGGAGTCTTCGTTTGCTGGATTATATAATGTTATCATGGTACTAAATTTTACTGCTTGATTTTTGGCAGACAAGGTGCAGTAGCAAGCAAGGGCCACCGACATAACACTGAACGAAGAGGAACCAGAGAATCTCGAGCAGTGCCAGCACCTGATGCTAATGCAGAGTTGGCTGTATCTATCCAGGTGAATTCTAGTTTTAATTCTCCCGCTTACGGCCCTCCTTTGGCAAGAATTCTCAGAATGTTATAATCCTTAAAATTTAATATTTTTTGTGGAAAAATAGAGATGTTACTGCATTTTTCTTGCCAGCAACTTTGCTATCTATTACAGAAAAGCAAGGAACTTCAGTAAAAACAAAAACGATTACCTTTCTGTTCATGTGATTTTTATCTTTTCAAAATTTATATTTTCTTGGAGTTACCTTGATGGGCTATTCTTATCAATGATGTCCATTCCTTGTGTCCATTCTTTTGATCCACTCGCTCGCTCGGCTTCTGGTATCTTACTTTTCGCATTTTAACTCTTTTCTTCGATTTGTGGCTCTTCAATTCAATTTTTGATTTGCCCTTTGCTGTAGCAGAAAAGGCAATGTCAGCCAAACTCTAAAAGCTGCAGTGAGAAATTCAATCCTCATCCAGAAGAAGTCGCTTCTGGGTTTCCATTCGAACCACCTAGACCATCACACATCGTCGAATCAAGTGGAGAGCCCTCACATCAACAGCAGCATAGGCGAGGTTCTCATTCGGGCCCACTTGCTCAGCGTGGTGCTTGGTCCAAAGCGGGTACTAGGAATCCCTATGAAGCTCCTAAGGTTTCTAGTGGGGCAGCTGACTTGTCAACAATGCCTGCTGGGTTAGTGGCTGCAAGGAGAAGCTTGTTGACTGAGGACCGAAGGGAAAGATCGGTTCAACAACAATCGGAAGTCCCGAAACTAATAGCACGGAATCCTGGATCTTTCAAGGAATCCTCGGAGTCCTTCGGCCAACAAGATCAGAAGCATCACCATTTGCAGGGTTTCACTACTGGTGCCCATCAGAGGGAAGATGGAAGGGCTGGCTGTGGCAATCCTGTCCTTGTAAGTTGCTGCAGTCGCATTGAAATCAAATTCATTGAACTTGTTTTTTCCCCTGATATCTTATTCTTTTATTTAGGTGGGGCATGGGTCAAAGAGTCGCAAAATCCACTACTCTGGTCCACTGGTGCCAACTGGGAACATGGATGAAGTACTGAAGGACCATGACCGCCATATCCAGGAAGCCGTGAGACGAGCACGGATCGACAAGGTAAAAATTAGGAAAATTCAGGTGGATGGCAGTCAAATATCAACCAATTCATTATTCGTTTCTGGTCGTTAAAAAGTTGTATAAGGCGCTTAGAAAGCATAGCTAGCTGGACGACCATTTCAACCAAGTGGGTTAAGTTAATCTTGATTAGCTCATTGATAAATTCTCATCTCTCTTCCTATCTGATGGCAAGTGTATCTATTGTATTTACTTACACTCTCTTCTCCGTCTCACTTAAATATGTAATGTAATGTATATGTTCATGAGCTATTCTTGTAGAGTCCATCGTCGTTCATAATTGTGGATTCCTGAATGGAAAATCGATTATGCTTCCTGGGCTAGTTTGAATTTGCACGGTTAATGTCGCCAGGATCAGTTAATGTAGTTCAGATGATTGAGATTGCTGCTTTTGTTTGGTTTAGCTGTTTCTGGTTTGAAATGCCAATGCCTCTTGATACCATAATTTAATAACTCGTTCCATTTCTTCCTAGTTAGTAGTTACTTGTTCTAACTACAACATTCCAATCGACAGTTAAGTATAATCGCCGATCGAGTGTAGCATAGAATTTATTGTATCATGGGGATTTAGGATTACCCTACTTCAGGTTAAGGGTTCTTTATCTAGCCAACCTAGGATAGTGATTAATACAACTAAAATAACTAACTTAGACTAACCACTAATCCTAGCTATTTACAAGTTTTGGGAGCTCTCTTAGGTTAAATCCCCCATATTTTCTCTTATAATTGTGCCTTTTCTCTCTTATGTCACTAGCTTATTATCCAGTTCCTTGGGCGGACGTAGTCTAAGAAATTGGTACTATGATTCTAACTATATTACCCATTATCATGTCTGCGACGATGGACAGAGGTAGGTCAACAACACCATAATAATCTGATGGAAAGTTATTATCTCATTGCATTACGAAAGAAAAACTAAAACATAAATACTATAATGGACAATCCAAACGAAGTCATTAGCCATAAATCTAGCCACACTATTGTCAAGCACCCTAATGCCTATAGAGTGAACATGAAAAAATCAAAGGCATGCTTACCTGGCTCCAATTCCCGATGGTGAAAATGGAAGCCACCAAGAGATATCATAGAGAAAATCCTATCTGGATTGCCCTTAGACCAAAAACCATAGTGACACCAAAGGTGATGAATCCCTTGCTGAGAAAACCAAAACCAACTTTGTCCAAATCAAATCGATGAAATAAATAGGCCATTTTTTCTAATAAATAGTTTTGTTAATTAAAATGACAAAAAAATAAAAGAAATACAAAGCATGCAATTTGCTGTAGAAATCTCAAATACAAACAAAAGAAAAATGCAAGCAACATATGCCTAGTAACACCAACAGATAACAACTTTTGTCAATACCCCTACCACTGTGAAAATGAAATGCTACCAAATCACTCATAATCACTCTGCTACACTAAACACACAAATGACTTACAGCTCTACACTTTCTATCTCTTCAATATGTATAAGTCAATTGTCATATAACCTCTCCATTATCATGATTTTTATCCTTCTCGATAGCAAACACGCTGATTGGTCCTTGCTTACTCCTTCGTGGCAGCTACATGACATTTTGCATCAGTACACATTAATCCAAACGACCATTCCATTGCTGCAATTTATGGTTTGAGGTAATATCACTTCACTCATAATACGAATTTACATGAAATGAAAGAAATGATCAGTATAATATACTTGTAAAATTTAGAGTACCAATGACGATTCCTCTCTTCTCCTCGTTGGCTTCGTCAATAAAATGAAATTGATAGCTACCTCTACCAACATGTTCTATATGATCATAGTATGGTCTTTTATATAAACCGTTTCTAGCTTACCTATTTTTGCATCGCAACTCCAAGAGATAACTTGTTGGGGCTCTCCTCTAAGTAAACAGCTTGTATCAACATCAGACATGACAAAAAAAATTGCTTCGGTTGAGATACTATCAGGATCTTGTGATGCTCAAAAGAAGCTGAAACCATTTCTCAGACCTCTGTCAACTCCCAATCAATTTAACATGGGTCATTGCTCTCTTACCACCTCAATTAAAGAGGAAGCTCATGTTAGTCTCTCTCATAGTTTAACTTGACAATTTCTTAGACGAGATACAATCACAATTCATAATTCCAGAATAACCACCTCAGATAATACAATCTTATAGAAACAACACTAATGAAGCACCCAAATTACAATTCTCTACATGTTTCCTATGAGGGTGTGCATTTGCAGATTAAGAAAAATAAAAGGATTAAGGAGGGAGCTTACTTGATTTGCAGTTTTGATGAGCACAAATATCGTCAATAAATTTCAGGTGGAGATGTTAAATCTACATATTTCCTATGAGGGTGTGCATGTGAAGATTAAGAAAAATAGAAGGATTAAGGAGGGAGCTTACTTGATTTGCAGTTTTGATGAGCACAAATCTCGTCAATAAATTTCAGGTGGAGATGTCCAATCGGTCGGGTCTAGACATGCGTATATTTCAACAGGCTATACTACAAACACAAAGATTTCAGTTTGTCCTTCTCATGGTAACATATGCTCACCATGTATTTATTTCTTGCAGAGAGAAGAATATCAAACCACCTTGTTGCTCCAATTATTGCAAACACTCGTGCTTTTTATATTATAATAATCAGAACTCTACTTTTAAATCTAGAAGCAAGTGACCACTATCACGAAACATCATGTAAACAATTATATGCAATCATGAGGTTATTCTACTCAAAAGAAACCATGTTTTATATGTTGAAGATCATCATTATAGTTTGAATAGTTCAATTCGATAACGATCTCAGCTCCTACATATAAAATCTATGTAAAAGTGGTATGATTGAAACTATTCCTTATGTTAACACTAAACAAAATAATCTTTGTTTACTGGAAATTAACCACACAACATTCCAAATCAGGAAAATGATCATACTGAAAAGGAGTATCATAACAAAAACAACAAAAAGTATAGCTATGTATCTTTAATCTAACCTAGAAAAGCAACCAAATGAATTGATGGTTAAGAGATCACACATTACTGTCAAAGAAACTAAATAACCTACCAGTCATTGTCAGCTCTCCAAGCAGAAACAGTCAACCTTAGTGGGTCGAGCCTTTAGTGGGTCGAGATACTATTTAGACTTGTTTACATTAGTTGCGCATTTTCCATCTGCGTTCAACAAACCAACATCACTCAATCTTTCCATATTTACCCTGTTCTTAAAGACACATGTGCTACGTATTCAGTCAAAACTTCTGTGTACAAAAATATTGTTGTTTTATGGTCATCATCGCTTCTACACATTTAATATTGTACTTCTATATGCAATAATTGCACCAATGGCATAAGGATTGTGATTTTAAAATTATTCTCTTTTATACAAACATAAATAGAATTAATTATTAAACTCGAATTAAAATAATCAAAATATGAAAATAGAAGTATCAAATACCAAAAGAATATTTCGGGAGAGTTTGTGGGTTAGCTAACCATGGGGAAGTACCTTTCCCATTTCAATATTATATTAGGTGTAGCGAATGTAAGCGCGATGGTTGAGTGTTTAGTGGGCCGGGCAGCTATTTGGGCCCGTTTACATTAGTAGCGTCTTTTCCATCCGCATTCGTGAACCAACAACAGACAAGCTTTCCATATTTTCCACTCCAAAAGTTGCTCTGGCGTAACAATAAAGATAGAGGAGGTTAGTCGGTTGTTGAATCCGATGAGAAGTTTGGAGAGACGGCGATGTGTTTAATGCAAGGATTGCAAAACCGTACCGGGCATCATACCGGATTTCTTTTTGGTAGGATATTTTGTGGTATAATCGTGGTTCAACCGTTTCGTACCGGTAAATACCGTTTTTGTAATAATATAATTTTTTTTGTCAAATAATCGTACCGGTCAAAACATAGTACAATTCCAGAGTAATACCGAAATAATATAAAAAATACCATATAGAAAATCATTAAATATCAACATATATCAAGTTTGTCTACTTAAGATTTCATAAATACCCATTTTTACACTTCATAAACATTATAGGTATATAATGAAATAGCTTAAGATTCCAGAGACTAAACATATAATTATAATATAAATTCAGGTATTATGCAATAATTTTCCACTCTATCCAGAAAAGCCTTCGTCTATTATTAACTATTCCTTTCCAGGTTCTCTCTCCATAGTCAATTCTACAAATTCCGATATGATTTCTCTTGAAACAAAACAACCTTTGCGAACAGAGAACTTGCAAGGCAGAGAGGGAGGGCAGAGATCTTGGCGGCGTGGTGGAGATGGAAGGGAATAATGGCAGGAGGCGGAGAAGGGATTGCATTTGATTTGAGATGGCAACCACCGCCGCCAACGGGGACGGAATTCAAAGCGTCGATGAACCACTGGCCGACTTGCTGGTGGCGCCACCGCGGCAGAGCCGGTCTTCCTCGACCATCGTGTGCACGAGATCATCGTCGTTTATGACGGAGATTATGGCGTCAAGATCTTCTTCATCTTCTCACCTCCTCTCCTCTGTGATTTCTCCATATGCCTGTCTATGGGAGCGACCAGCGAGGCTTCAAGAAGAATCGGCTGACGGTCAACCGTCGGGAAAGATGAATGACGAACAACAGGTAGAAGGAATTGAAGAACCGTCGGCTGGATCAAAACCGGCCGGTATTTCGCGAAAGGTCGGTTCAATGGAAAATACCGGCCGACACTCTTATTTCTCTTAATATAAGCTACCGTATCGGGACTTGCCCGGTTTCCGGGTTTCCCGGTTGTACCGGCCGGTGCGGCACGGTAAAGCAGTCCTTGGTTTAATGTGCCGGGTCACTAATTGGGCCCGTTAACATTAGTAGTGTATTTTCCATTCGCGTCGACACACCAACATCACTCAACCTTTTCATATTTACTCCTCTCTCATGTGTGCCTCATATTCATCAAAAACTTCTGTGTTAAAAAATATCGTTGTTTTATGGTAGTTATAAAAATTAGGTCTATGTTAAGAATTCTACATCGCTTCTGCACATTCAATAGTGCAAATCGATATACAATATTTGTACCAATGACATTTGGGTTGCGATTTGAAATTATCTTTCTTTTATAAGATAAATAAATGAAATTAATTATTAATCTCGAATTAGAATAAATAAAATATCAAATCAGAGATATCAAATACCAATAAATAATATTTACGGGAGAGTTAGTGGGTTAGCTAACCATGATGGAAAAGTCCTATGATTTTTCAAATTTAAACTTCATGTATGTTTTAATTTAAAAATATTTTACAAATTTGGTTAGTGTAACTGGTTGTGTTTCTTATCTTTGTTTGAAGAGACCATGGTTCAAATCTCATTATTGATGTATTTTTTTCATGTATATAAGAAAATAATAAA